TCCAGTGTTCTTTCTATTGCCTTTCAAGTTCAAATGTAAGATGACTAGCATGGTCAGGAAACAAACAAACCCCTCTCTCTACACACACACACACACACACACACACACACACACACACACCCTACACTCCACCCTACCCCACCCCAAAACAGCAAATGTGTGTCTCATAAAAAAAGTAATTCTATCAGTTTTATGCTCACTAAAAATAATAATATTGAAAAATTGAAAAAAGATCCAAGTCTCTGGGAGATATTTTAAAGAACTGTGTAGAAAGTACGTTGTGTTGTTGAGAGTTTGAGTTAATCGCTCATGGAAGAAACATTTATCTGGGTGGAGGTTTATGCTTGACTTACATAGGCTTTTAGCCTGAAGGGTGTAATAGATGAGTGATTCTCTTAACCTTAATCTATTTTTCATACGGTGGGATGACAGTCATCATCTGAAACCATTTTTAAGTTTCCCAGAAGTGTGGAAAAACTAACTTAATCTTACTGTTATAACTTGTTTAAAGGGCAGATTTTTACTTTTAGTTTTAGAGTAATTTTTAAAAGGAGCTGCCACGCTCAAGGAGTCCACCTATCTAAGGTTCTCAAGGACAGAAATGAGCTCTCGTGTGAGGGCAGGCATTTGCTACATGTCTGTCCTGGTTATGGTTATACTTTGTGACCTCAGTTCAGTTCAGTTCAGTTGCTCAGTTGTGTCCGACTCTTTGCTGTCCCATGGACCACAGCACGCCAGGCTTCCCTGTCCATCACCAACTCCTGGAGCTTGCTCAAACTCACATTCATCGAGTTGGTGATGCCATTCAACCATCTCATCCTCTGTCATCCCCTTCTCCTCTTGCCTTTAATCTTTCCCAGCATCAGGGTCTTTTCCAATGAGTCAGTTCTTTGTGATCTGGGGAGTGTGATTATTCTTTCTCTGAATCTTAGATTTAAAAAAACTGAGATTAAATTTAACATTAAATTTAATGTTAAACTGAGCCTGATTTTCTTTGTACAATTTCTTAGTACATGTTTTTAAAAAATGCTTTGGGTATCTTTGGGACTCAGAATTCAATGGTTTAAGAATCATTTAGGATCAGAAGAAACCAGGCATGAGGTAGCCAGTTGCTCCTTGGTTGTGGGATGGCACTTACTCCAAAGTCCATCATCTGTCTTCCTCATCAGCCCTTCTCCGGTTGTTCAGACAAAGCCTACAGGATGCATAAGAGAACTGATCTTGTTCCACAGAAAAAGACAGAGTTCACTATAATGCTTGAAAGCACTCGCTGCATTCGACTTTTACATTACGACCGTACTGTTTCTCAGTTTGTTTTAATATTTTTATTTATATTAAATATAATATGAAACATATACTTACCTGAGAAATATATAATAAATTTTAATAAATATAATTATAGATCATTACAATAAATAGAGAAAAATAAGTGTCACATATATGTAGAATTTAGAAAAATGGTCTTATTTAGAAAGATGGTCTTATTCGCAAAGCAGAAATAGAAATACAGACACAGAGAACAAACATATGAATATCAAGGGGGAAAGGAGGTGGGGATGGGATGAACTGGGAGATTGGGATTGACAGATACACACTACTATGTGTAAGATAGGTAATTAATGAGAACTTACTGTATAGCTCAGGGAACTTGACTTAATGCATTGTGGTAACTTGAATGGGAAAGAAGTCCGAAAGAGAGAGGATATATGTATGAGTATGACTGATTCATTTTACTGTACATGTTTTGTTAGTGTACAGTAGAAGCCAACACAACACTGTAAAGCAACTATATGCAAATAAAAAGTACTTTAAAAATAACTACAAATAAGAAGAAGAAATTAAGTACATTTAATAAATAAATATTAAGTATAAATATTTACTTCTTTTTTTAAACTTCCAGCACTCTTTACCTCCGGGCTTTATTTTCCTCTGTAGCACTTAGGGCATCTATGAAATCATAGAGTTCACTTATTTTCCTTGATGGTTATCTATTTTCCCTCTCCAGTGATGGTTATTTTGTTTGCTATTGCACACCAGTGCCAAGAAGAAGGCATGGCATTTAGCAGAGCTCAAAAAAAACATATTGAATGAATGGTGGCATGAATGATGACATGTTAAACCGGACTCTCTGGAGACATGCCTTCTGTATCCCATGACTTAAGAGGCACACCTCATGCTCAATGGCATGTGTTCCCAGTATTACAAGTAAAAATGTGTTATGTTTAAGGAATAGAGGAGAGGGGAGCAGTTGTCAGGCACCCATGTCTGACATCATGAGATATTAATAGTTCTTGACTTCTGAGCCCATGAGTACCATGAGCAGTGCACCATAAGCCCATGTTATGACATAATTCTTGGTTCCTGATGAATTAGGTAATTTGATTTTACTTCTTGCCGCATATGCTCTGATTTCATGAGCTTGGCCTGCAGTAGCCTGCAGTTACCTGGATAATACTGCTCTCCCTGCCCATCTAAATCCTTCTCTTCCCTCAAAGCCCAGCTGAGAACAAACCTCTTCTGTAACATTAACCTCAACTTAGTAGTCCCAGTACACGAAAGTCAGTCTTTTTCTCCCACTCCGAGGGGAGCATCTCGGGCCTAGTGGGACCAGGGAACACATATATGTGGACTCCATTAAGGTGGCCTGAGCGAAAGAACAGTTGATTTCAAAACACATGTAGCAATTTTGAAAGAAGGTACAATGGTGTAAATTAGTACCTCTTCCACTAAACCACGAACACCAATCACAAACTCACTTTACTCTATCTTTCCTCTCAGTTGTCAGGAAAATACTCTCCATTATCTATGACAGTTTCAGACATAAAAAGCATATCTTTGGCCTGCCCACAGCCCCTTGATAAGATCTAGCTGGACTTTAAAGGCAGGTTATTATAGTTACTGACAGTTCTGAACTTGCTAAAGGAAAGTTACCTTGTTATTGTTTGACAGTACCCCCAAAACACCTTGTTTATCCACCACCATGAATATATTTACTATAAGAAGCCCTTATATAGACGTTCTTACATATGTTATACATATTAGTATATGTTATACTAATATATTAGATATATTAGTATATGTATCTAATATATATATTAGTATATATATCTAATATATAACATATTAGATGTTACACATATTAGTTCACTATCCCACAAAACAACGTAACTATTAGGGGTGTATGTATTTGTGTGTGTGCTCTTGTGTTCTATTCTTTGTGACCCCATGGACTATAGCCTGCCAGGTTCTTCTGTCCATAGGATTTCCTAGGCAGGAGTACTGGAGTGGGCTGCCATTTCCTCCTCCAGGGGATCTTCCTGGCCCAGGGACTGAATCCGCAGCTCCTGCCTTGCAGGTAGTCTCCAGAATTGCAGGTGGATTCTTTACCGCAGTGCCACCTGGGAAGCATATTGGGTAGGTACTACTATTATCCCTGTTTTAAAGATAAGGAAACTGAGGCACAGAGGTAGGGTGAGTAAAGGCATATAGCTGTTAAGTTCAGAGCTGGGATTCAGACCCAGGTATTCTAGCTCCTGAGACCACATGGTTAACCACTAGCCCATTTGTCTCACCTTTGTTCCCCTCCACCACCCTCCTTTATCTGTCAGCGAGCCCCTTGCCTCTGATCTTTATTCTTCCTGGTCAGAGAAAGACTCTGCTGCCTTTCTCTAAAATCATTCTCCAAATCAACCAAGGGAAATTTCTTGCAGTTGGGATGAAATCACTTCTGTGACCCTTCATTCTTCACATTCACTAATACTGATTAGTTCACTTCTTAGCTGACCCCTCTGCTGTTTCATGCTTTGATCAAGCACACACATCTTAAAATGCTCAGACCATTTCCTTCCCTCTCTCTCTGAATTCTCCAGTGGAATACTGACATGAGAAGTTCCACTGGAAAATGCCTTGATCTGAATGAAGTTTAGGGAAGATGAATCTGGTGCTTATATTTGGAGAGGGTCAGGGGAAGGTGTGTTATTGAGAAACTAGGTATAGGAAGCTTGCTAGAAATGCTAACTTTTATGGTCATGAAATTCTGTAGGAGCTTGGGAATGAGAAGGAATGAGTGGATTCCAGAGACATTTCAGAAAGACCAGTGGAGTTGTGGGCAACTGCCTCTAGGAATAAGGTAGAGAAGGGAATGAATAAAATAACTGCTATTTTGGGCCTGAATGATTCTAATGAGCATGTCATTACTGAAATAGGTCTATCAGGAAGCTGATCTTATTCAGGGAGAACAAAAAGTTCATTTTAGAATCTTCGTCATCATCCCAGTGGAAATGTTCAACAGTTGGAAGACACCATAAGTGAGCATTTAATGAGCAGCCTTCCAGAGTCTAACAGGGCATGTGATGTTAAATCTACAGTCATTACCGTGAAAGGGAGCTGGGCGAAGGCATCGTTTTCACTGGTCTTCTGAAGGCACCTGCATAGTGTTTGGAGATCCTCCAGAGCCGTCAGCCACAAACGTGGAGCTGGCTTATACTTTGAATGTAAACAACGCGCCTTACCATACAGCCTAACCCCAAACACTAGCAAATGACTTTTCTTTGTCACACCTAAGAATCCTTAGAAAGTGACAATGTCATGTGGCAAACTGGTTCTGTGCTTGGTTTCCACACTTGATCTCACTTCATATTAATTTTTACAACAACAAACTCAAGTAATCTTGAACCCTTGCCCCAGTTTGCTTCTCTCAAGGTCCGGACAGCGCCAGCAGTCTGCACATTGAATGGTGAGAGCCAAAAGCTTCTTGCAATTTAGCTGTTAAAATCAGGCACTCAAGGTAAAAAACGCAGAAATAAAAGATGCAAAAAAAAAAAAAAAAAAGCACAGCGCCAAGAGAACTCAAAAGACAGGGCCTAGAGCGGTGTATTCAAGGAGCCGGAGAGATTGGCGGGCAATGTCCAGAAACAGCATCTCAAAAATCCAAATGATTCAGGTTAGCAATTAACCCCAGTTCTCGGGTTGGTCCACCTTCCTCGAGATTTCGTACAAGCTCAAGAGTAGTCAAGCCTTGCCCGGTAAAGATCATCAAATGACTTGTGGCAAATCTCTTCCTTCAAAAGTCTGACTTGGACCGCCAACCTTACTTCTAGAAGCCCGGTCGATCCTCCTTTCGAAGGGAATAAGATGCCGTGGGCTAGCGCGGGCCCCTGCGGCTCGCCGGGCCGACTGGTCGGAGGGACCCGATTTTCGGAGGCTGCGGGTTGGAGAAATAAATCCAGTCCGGGTTTTGTCTGCACGGGGGAGGGGGACCGGAGGGCTGCGAGGAACGGCTCGCGAAGAGGGGGGCGGTGGTGGAAAACACACAACACAAACAGCTCGCGCCGGGGAACGGCAGCTGTAGGCCCGGAGCGCGCGGGCCCGGCCGCCGGCCGCATGGAGCGCAGCGCGGCCCGCGGCTCCCGGGCGGCGGCGGCGGCTGAGGCGGCAGCGCGCCGCTCGCTCACACCCACCCCCGCCCGCGGCCGCCGCGCCGCCCCGCCGTAGCCGCCGGCGTCCCCGCGGGCCGGTCCAGCGAAGGCGGCGCCCGCGCCTCTGCAGCCAGTGGCAGCCGGCGGCCCCGGGGAGGCGGCTCCCGCAGCCCCCCGGCAGCTCCGCGCCCCGGGCGCCTCGCGACCACAGCGGCCGCCCGGGGAGGAAGAGGGAGGAGGACGAGGAGGGGGAGGTGACCAACTCTCCGGCTCGGCGCGGCGGCCGGCAGCCCGCGGGCAGGCATGCAGGCGCGGCGTCTAGCCAAGCGCTCCAGCCTGGGCAGCCGCCGGGGCAGCGCCGCGCTGCAGCCGCCCGGCTCCGCGCCCGCGCCCGCCCGGGAAGGCGCGCTGCCCGGGCTCCCGCTGCCCGCCCCGGCCCCGGCCCCGGAGAGCTGGAGGCCGCCGCTGCCGCCGCCGCGCAACGCCGGGACCGACCCCCCTCGCGCCGGGGCCGCCGCCGCCGCCGCCTCGTCTCCGGTGCTGCTGCTTCTGGGGGAGGAAGACGAGGACGAAGAGGGCGGGAGCCGGCGGCGGAGGGGGCTCGGGCGGGCGCCGGCGAAGCCCCGAGGGGGCGCGGAGGAGGAGGATGACGACGACGAGGACGAGGACGAGGAGGTGGTCGTCGAGGTGGTGGACGGCGACGACGACGACGAGGACGGCGACGAGCGCTTCGTGGCCCTCGGCCCCGGCCGCGCGCTCCCCAAGGGCCCGGCCCGGGGCGCCTTGAAGGTGCGAGCCGGCTGCGGGGGCGCGCGCGGGGACCCTCGGGCGCGGGGAGGGGACGGGCCCCGGGCTCCGGCGCAGCGCCGGCTGCAGCCAGCACCGGCGACCGCAGAGGCCGGCCCGGGAGGGGTGTGTCCGGCGACCGCGCGGGCCGAGCGAGGGGACTGATGAAGCTCAACGCTCGGGCCCCACACCTTACCCGGGCGGCCGCTCCCCCTTTCCTCCAGGGCCGGCCGGCCGGGCGTGCTCGTCCGGGGTGGGTTGCGGGCAAAGGACGCTTCTCCCGGGTGAGGCGGGGAACTTGGAGGCGGGACGAGGTAGGAGCGGGTCTGCGCCTGGTGGGGACGGGCGAGGTAGGGGGTCGTGAGGTCATATTCCTCCCCGGGAAGCTCGAGGGTCCCCCTTCCCCTTATTCCGGGGACGAGTCTAGCGCGTGGAAACTAGCAAACTGCTTCTCTTGTCAATCTCTCAACCCCTTCTGCATCCGAGAACAATTGTGGGTGAGTTTCCATCACTGGCGCCTGTGAGGGAACCGGTAAGCCCAGGACAGGACACAAACCAAGCCCTGGGTTTCTACATGCCTTTTGCTGGCAGCTTTTGGCAGTGCCTGCCACCCCCCAACCCTCCACCCCCGTTTAAACTCGACATTGTTTAGCATTTGTGATATTTTTCCCCCTCCTCAAAATTGCAAATGAGAGAAAAAAAAAAAAGAAACCAGAGGAAGTGGGGGTCATTTGGCATTTAAAATGGACGTGAGTTTCAGCTGAGAATTCAAGCAAAGTCCCTTGTGTCCTGAAGCACTGAGAGATCTTTCCGTTTGTGTATCTTCAGGAGATAAGGGGTTTATTATTACACAACTGACTGGCTGGGCTTTCAGGCATGTGATTGGATAAAGCAAACCACGTTGAGGTTCATACACAGTGTATGTTGCTAAGAAGTTTTGAGGGCAGCAAGTGGTAAGCAATGGAGTGAGTGATTTTTCTGAAGAGTGGTGCTTAAAATCCACTGAATAACACTGTTGATGGGAGTTTTCACAAGATATTGGTATTTCAGGAAGAAAAATACATGAGCTTAATAGATAGAGACTATTAAAAAAAATAAAAACCTTTAAAAAAAAAGTAACCAGCAAAAAAGTCATTCCTCAAAGCATGAAATTGCAGTTCCAAAGAAATGTTAAATATTAGCATTTGAAGAGCCCCAGAGTAGACATGGGCACAACTTTCTTTCCTAGACCACCCTGGAAGTACCAGCTCTGGGAGTGAGAAATTTTCAGCAAGTGGTCATTTGGGATGATAGTTTTTGACAGTTGCTTGTTGGAATCCAGACCATGACCACCCTCATTACCATGGTCTAATAAAAAGCCTGCATTGTATGGCTACAGGATATAGCTGGGTTTGGAATTAAATCACATGGCATCAGTGACATTAAGTAACAAGAGTAGTGACTCCTTACCATTTTTGTCCAGAAATACTGAAAAGATGTCTTGTAGTTTGGACAGTTGTTGCACAAGTTGTGATGGAAAAACTAATTATAATTTATGTCCTGTGATCAAAGCAAACCCAGTATAGAAAAAAAAAATCAAATTTATAAAAACCAAAGAACTAGAATGTGATCATTCATATTATCAGAAAAAGATTTTCACATCTCCAGGAAAATTTCTGTTAAATTCTTTCTAAATGGGTCTTATTTTATAACATTTTGGGTTGCCCATAACTTTCAGGAATTTATATATTGAATAGTTTGAGGTATAATTTTATAATCTTTGCTGCTTTAAAGTCATCTTGACACTGCATCTAAAGAGGTTTTCTAATGAATAAAATAGGATCATTTTATTCTAATGCATTTAAGACTGTCAATTTGTTGTTTAGTCTCTAAGTCATGTCCAACTCTTTGCCACCCCATGAACTGTAGCCTGTCAGGCTCCTCTGTCCCTGGAATTCTCCAGGCAAGAATACTTATGGGATCTTCCCGACCCAGGGATCAAACCCACATCTACTTTGCAGGCAGATTCTTTATCAGTGCAGATTCTTCCCACCCGGGAAGCCCAAGAATGTCAATATTTTATATATACTTAGGCATTCATTTATTCACATATTTATTAAGCACCTACTATGTGCCAGGTACTATTCTAGAACACAGCACCTTTCAGATGCCCATATCCTGTAAGAGAAACCAAAGCAACAACCATCTAAACAAATAAAGAAGCCTGGTGCTTGAGATTGTGATGCATCCCCTCATAAGGGAAATGATACCATCTAGGAGGAAGAGGAGAAAGCTAATAGAGAGAAGGCCTCCCTGAGGAGGGGACATTTGATCTGAGATTTGAGACGTGTAGTTTGGGAAGATCTTTCCAGAATAACAATTGCAAAAGTCATGAGGTGGGAAGGGGAAAAGGCCAAGTGTGGCTGCAGCTTGGTAGGTAGGAGATATGTCAGGTAAGCTAGCTTACCGGCCAGCAACATAGAGCTTGGTGGGCCTTTTTAAAGTGGAGAAAAGAATATTTGCAAGGTTTTAAGCAGTAAAGGCATACAAAGTGGTTTGTATATTTTTTAAATTTTTTAATTCAAGGATAATTGCTTTACAGAATTTTGTTGCTTTCTGTCAAACCTCAACATGAATCAGCCATAGGTATACATATGTCCTCTCCCTTTGGAACCTCCCTCCCATCTCCCTCCCCATCCCACCCCTCTAGGTTGATACATGGTTTGTATTTTTAATAGGGTCATGTTGTGTAGGGTATAGAAGGCAGCTGGGAGGGGCAGGGATCTAGTTCGAATGTGTTATTGAAGTGCATGTGAGAGGCCAGGCAGTTTGGACCAGAGTGGTGTTAGACACGAGGGGACAAATTCAGGATCAATTGTGAAGATCCATCTGTGATAACTTGCTGATGGATTAGGTGGCAGTGGGCGGGGGGCTGACAGACAGAAGGGAATCAGGGATGAGACCCCAGTGTAAAGGTTGGTTAGATGTGCCATTTGCTGATATTTGGAAAACTAGAGAACAACAGGTTTTTGTGAGGGGAAGAATCAAATATTCTTTTTGGGGCATGTTAAGCCTGAGATGATGCTTAGACATAGGCATGGGAACTGCAGGTAGGCAGATGGCTATAAGGTATGGAGCTTAGAGGAGAGGTTGGGGTTGGAGAGAAAATTTGGGGAGATATGGTGATGTCCTGTGTAGCTGGGGACAAGAAAGGAAGCACAGCGAGCCAGAGGACAGTTTTGGGCTAGACTCTGGGGCACAGCACTGTTTAAGTTTGGGTATGGAGGGAGGAGCCAGCAACGACAATTGAGAAGCAGCAGCCAAACAAGTCAGAGGAACACTAGGAAACAGAAAGTACAGTAAGGCAGGAGAAGATATGGTTCTAGAAGTAGGGAGTAATGAACTGTGTTGAATACCACTGGGATACCGAGTAAGACAAGGACAGAGACATGTTCATTCAGATTAGATAATGCACAATGTATTGGTATCCTTAACCAAAGCATGTAAAGTCAGCGGTGTGACCTGAGTGGCCTGAGCAGTGAGCAGAATTGAGAACACAGTGAAAAACCCTTTCAAACTCTTTTAAAAGCCCTTTGCTAGGAAGGAAAGTAGAGAGAAGGGGGAGACTCTGGAGAACATATGGTCTAGAATTTTTTTAAGATAGGATACAGTAGACTCTGCAGTAAACCTGCAAGGCGGGAGTCACGGAAGACATGGACTTAATCCCTAGGTCAGGAAGATCCCATGGAGGAGGGCATGGCAGCCCACTCCAGTATTCTTGCCTAGGGAATCCCATGGACAGAGGAGCCTGGCGGGGCTACAGTCCATACAGTTGCGAAGAGTTGGACACAACTGAAGCAACTTAGTACGCACACATGCACAGTAGGCTCTAATATAGAGACTGTAGCACAGTAGGAATTATCTGTCACCTGTATGGGAAGTATATTTGTTTTCTGCTGCTGTGTAACAAAGTACAATAAGCCCCCTACATACTAACCTTCAGGTGGCAAACTTTCAAACATGCGAACATGCATTCACATGTCCAAGCATGTGAGTTAGTTCATGTGTCTGGCATACTTTGTCACTCGTGTGCATCCTCTGCAAGTGGTTGTGCTTCTGTATGCATTACTATATAGTACAGTATAGAGTACAGTTGTACAGCGTCTTTATTTCAATCCCAGGATGTCCAGAAGCAAGTGTAAAAGCAGCAGTGATGTAGCTGGTACTGCTAAGAAGGGCCAAGCAATAACAATGGAAACAAAAGTGAAATAATTGAGGGTGGAGCGAGGCAAAAAGATTGTAGATGTCAATTATTCTGTAACATGAATCATTCAGCCATCAGCACAACTCTAAGGACAAGATCATGTAAAGTCTGCTCTGCCAATGATGTCCACAATAATATTGAAGAAGCATAGAAAAGTGATGGAGATGGAGAAACTTCTCAGTGTTTGGATGCAGGATCAGAGTCCCACTCAGCTTACTGCTGATTTGAGAAAGAGCTAAAAGCCTTTATGAAGACTTGAAGAAACACAGTGAAGAATCAAAGGGCACATCTTTTAATGCCAGCTATGGCTGGTGTCATTGGTTGAAGGTTAGAGCCAACCTTCATGATGTAAAAGTAAGTGGTGAGGCAGCTAGTGCGAGTGCAGATATGGTAGCTGCCTGGGAAGTTCCGGAAATGCTTCCAGAAGTTACTGAAGTACCAAAGAGCGTCACAGCACAGGAGATGGCAAGGAGATATTCTTTATCTGAGGAGGACCTGTTAGTTTTTGAGTCGCAGGACTCAAAGGTAGAGCAGGACACGAAGGTTGCAGCAGTTGTTCAGAATGCAATCCAGTGCTGCTGTTTCATCTATGACAAAGAAAATGAGAAAAAAAGAGCCACTACCCAGACAGCACTGGGTAGAGAGAATGTCTACGTCAGGACTGTCCGATGGAGGGCAAGCTGCAATGTCACTCACACCTGATGCCATCAGTGTGATATTGCAGCTTGCCCTCCATCTCCTGTTGCTGACAATCCTTTAG